TTCACTCTTGTTGGCGGCGTTATCCCATGGTGGATGTATCCTCACAGACTATGATTATTGAATGAAACAGAGTCCCTTTATTTGGAGATGGGGTTGTCCGAGAGGATGATATAGTGCCAGCAGGAGGGGATGGATAGGTACAACAACACGTGGGTGCGGCCAAAAGAAAACAGCAAAATAGGAAGCTGCAATCACTTAGCGCATATACAACTCAGCCGCAAGAAAACAGTCCTTGGCTAAAGGAAATACTAAACAGTGTAGACATGGGGTAGATAGAAAATAGTTGGCTGGGCAACGAGAGAAGGGGCTATCCGTCCGCAGAGTAGAAAAAAATGAGTTTTTTTATAATAAATGTCCAATTAAAACAAATTCAACCCTTTACTTTCGCAACCAATAACCCATAACAATTTCAAGTTTTCTGAAATAATAGGGGTGATTATCTAGGCTATTATGTGATTGATAACAAATTGAGAAATTAATGTTTCATATAAAAAAAATAGTAAAAAGATTGTTCTAAAACAAGTTTTTAACCTTTGAGTGTAAAACGCAACCTCCTCACACTTGAGCTGGACCTCGCCCTCGAGGTCTTCTTTTGAGGCACAAAATTTTGAAATAAAGGCACATTTTTTTCTGGTTCTTTCCCCACACTTGAGTTTTGAAAAGATTTTGTGAAGAGGGACAATGAAACATGAATAAAATGGTTTTAAAAATCCTTACATCATCCATAGTCAGTTTGTAAAAGCATTCAAGTCAAAAGAGCAGCGCAGTGTCCCACCTGAAGAAACAAACAAACACAATAAAATGTTAAGAAAGAAACAAAAACTAAGCATCGCCTGTGCGGTCCCGTCGGCCAGAGTTAGGCCTAAGCCAGTCTTGAGGCAGCACATGTTGCCGATTTTTGGCCATCGCGAGTGGCTCTTCTTGCTTCCAGTTCTTACGAATAATTTCGTTTGGGCAGCAGCACAAAGTCATGGATGGAGAACCAGATTATTATACATTTTGGCGTTTGTCGATGTACTTTCCATACGAAAGTGAAGGCTTGATCGAGATTGCCCCTGTTTGGATATCAGCGGATTTGGTCAATCCGCCAAATTTTTACAAAGTGAAACGCTGCAAAAAGTAGCGGATTTGTGTGAAATCTCCAATCAACAAACGGAGTCATTGTGATGAACGAGGAGCAAGGTGAGAAAGAAGATGCAGTATGCTGGCTCATCCCCTCGTGAACCGGCGTCATGGAGGGAATTGTATGACTAGGGTTTATTGCTCTATATTTCTTTCTAATTTGATTAATGTTTCCTTAGACTTTTTACTTTGTTTTTTACTTGTTTGTGTCAATAGTTTTTTTGAGGTGCTTATGACCGTTATTTGTCTAAAAGCTCTCATATGTTCAGCAAAAAGTTTCGCACTTTTTTGGGTAAACCTTTTTATGTTTGATCCAAGGTTGAGAGGACTTTGCGGCTAAAAAAAAAACTAATTTTAGGTGTTAAGCTCATCGTTGGTTAGGTCATTAAACTAAGAACATATACGAGTATATAGGATTAGTGTTTGTGTAGTTCTATGGTACACATTAATTGAGAGAGACGAAAAAGAGAGTACAAATGGTGTAGTGTGAATCCTCCCACCTATGTTGTCCGTAGTCTGCAACACTGGAAGACTGTTCAGAGCTCTCTGTCATTTTCTTGAGCTTTTAACTGTGCAGTTAAAAGCGCAGTTATCTTCAAGAATTAATTTGAATGTCTTCCCGGTTGAATTTTTATCTGAAATTTGGTATGAGTAAACTAGACTTAATGAATAAGATGCTCAAAAATTTTGATCAAAAAATTCCACCAGGAACCGCCTCAAATGGCACGTCCGGACAGAATCTTTTATATAAGGACTTATTTTACCCCTTTTATGCAACTTCGAGGCCTAAACTGACCCTTTACTCATTTCTTATCCCATGGCAAAGTTTGTTGAGGTCTCCACACAAAATCTTGGCTACACCTCCTTCCTTGGTGGATCCCTTCTTTATCAATTCCGACAACTCATCTTAAGTGTCCTCCCGCAACCTCCCACAGAAAGATGATATTTCAACAACCTCCCACAAAAATTGATATTGATTTGGAATGTACTCGAGTTTTTGCTTGTTAGTTTGATGATCTCAGTTTTTCACTTTGATCCGCACTTCTGTGCCTGAATCAACCTGCTCAAGAGTAAAATCTTGCATCTTGATCCACCATTTTTCTTCTTATTTGCAATCCAAACCATTAACATTGACCTTTTTTTCTTCTTATTTTGTAATTCTAGGTTTTGTAACTCTTATTTTACTTTATTGAGCTACTTTATAGCACTAGAATACTTAAGAAAAAATGTCATGTCCAAATCCTATCATGGTTAGAACTAGTCAGTCCCATCTTAAAAGGAAGACTAGACCAGGACATGGTTCGTCACGATTTCGAGAAGGATTAAGGGTTGGTTTTCAACTGCTTTTAAAAAAAGCATTTCTCAGCTTTTGTCTTTAAAAAAGTACTTATTTTTCCAAACACTACAACTTTTATTTTTGTCGGTTTCCGCGTCAAAAGTGCTTTTACTTTTTCTATTACACAAAAAGCACTTATTTTACCAAACACTACCCACTTTTACTTTTCAAAATTACTTTTTCTCAAACACTATCAATTTTTATTTAATCACTTCTCCCCATTTCATTTAAAAAAGCACTTTTTTTAAAGCAAAAGTTGTTGCAAACGAACCCTAATAACTCGATGGTAGTATGGTACTAATACTTATTTCACTTAGGGAGTGTTTGGTAAAGAGTCTATTTGCCAAACACGCCTAAAATGAATTGAGAACTTTTAGAAATTGATCTAATCAGTGTAAGATCAAGTTGAATTGATTTCCCTAAATAGAGTATTAATATATTTTCTAATAAATATATCTACTATTTTGAAATCATATTCTCATTTAATACTGTCATGATGTCATCATATAGTAGCATGAAGTATAATACAATGATAGCAATACTTTACTTTATATATAACGAAAAAATTAATACACCAATACTTTACTTTTTGAATTACGGTTACTGTGAATTTATTACTTTTGAAAATTTTCTTGCATCATACAGAGTAGCATCTAAAAAGTAAAAACCTGTGATTCCGCCACTGCCCTTATCAGCCAGATATTCCCTGGTGTCGCAAAGTTTCACCTCTATTCCCATCAACCTATACTCAATCCAAAAGGTGAAATCGCTATCCCAACAATTTTTAAGTGAGGGGTTTAGGCCTGGTGCACACAAGGAGACATCACATTGGATGAAACTCATACACTGTCGTTACCGGAAATTGAACCCGAAACCCCAATCCAACAACCTCACCAGTCATCGCTGAACTACCCAGGCTCCCATCCACCTATACTATTAATACCATTGGTTCTGTGCTAACTACTAAGTGGCTGTTTGTTATTCTTATTTTTTCTTCATCTTTTTCAATCAAATTTTTAAAGACAAACAATTTTTTTTAGTCCGGATGCTCAATTAGTTGAAATAGAATGAAAAAGTAATGCAGGTCCATATAAATAATTAAATAATAATGGTAATTCATTTACATTTATTTGGAAAAATTTTAGTATTTACACATAAAAATCTCATTTTTTACTGAACTTGAGGGCCGGCTTGAGTGTGCTATACTGATATGGTGTTACCCTTTATCTTTTTGTGCCATGGCTTTATCCTGATTATGTGGTAATTTTTTATTATCTTGGATTCTTGGCTACTTTCTTGAAACTGTTTTTGTAGTTTTGCTAGGCACGTACACATACTAAAGCAGATTTCTTAGTACAGTTGTCTTCTTTCCTCAAAACAAGAGTAATTGATTTCTATTTTTAAACGTTTTTATTGTTTTTATTCTCTTAATGTTAAAAATAAACCACCTTCTGAAAATAGCTCATATTGTATTTGGCAATACTCTTTCCGGTGTTTAATCCTATTCGAACTGGGGTGGGATTGTGGGAACACGGTGGTGTGAGTCAACCAATGATGGTTCCTTGACAAAGGGTATGTTTGGCAAATGGCTGTTAGCTGTTGTTGTTAGCTGGTTGTGTCAGCTGTTTCCTAACAGCTGGTTGTGTTAGCTGTTTTGACCGGCTGGTTATATTAGCTGGTTATAGATAACTGTTTGGTAAAATTGGTTGTTTCAAAATGGCTGATAGAGTGTAAATTGAACCAGCCAAAAGAAGAAGCTGCTCCCCTTAGCTTCTTCAACAATCCTTTTTTTCAGCTTTTCAAACTCAACAAGCTAATTTTAAAAGCCATTTACCAAACATAATTATTAGCTTCTTTGACCAATCAAACAGCTGAAATGGGTCAAACAAGCTAAAAGCTGGCTGATAAGCCATTTGCCAAACATACCCAAAGTGTGATGGGAACCTTAATAGAAGTAAGGATGATTATTTTACTTAGACTTAAATTTAATTTGATGGTATGATCTGGTCTGGTCTGTTTAAGTCTGCTCTAGTCTGATAACCATCTGGTTTCTGTGTATTTTATAATTATGGAAGTCTGGTCTGGTCTGAACTGGTCTGGTCTGTTTAAGTCTGAGACTGAAAACAATCCAACTAAAAACATCCTAAAAACGTTTTGAAATCCCAAAATAGGATCTTCATATTTTATTTCTAAAAAGGAGTCATTGCTGCCAAATTTGAAAAAACTTATCGAAAATTATAATGTTTAAAACCTAATAATGCCAAAACAGACAAAAATTACCCCTATTTAGAAAATAAAAACATGACAAATTGGCAATCCTATTTGAAAATTTCAAAATTCTATCTGGGAAATTTTCTCAAACTCATTAATCGAGGGGATTGAATTTATTTCTTTCAAGGATTTGAGATGACCTCGAGAAATTGCAATCACCTAGTCCTAAAAGAAAAAGGAAGAAAATAAAACACAATTGAATACTCTCCGTATAAATTGGAATGAATAGGGTTGGGGTAGGTATGTTGAATCCACACCTTGCATAAAGCCAGCCAGCCACAAGAGACTTTTGTGAGTCAGAAGTCAACAAAGCTAAAACGTCACCATCTCCGGCGCCCAATAAGTCTATACTCGTTTTATTTAAGGCCCTCTCAGTCCTCGCTCCTTTTACCGGGAAAATTAGTACTCTGTTCAACACGGCTGAACGTAAACGCGCGGCCATTAAAACCTCACCGAGTGTAGAGAAACAGACGATGGCTACGAACGGCCTCGACCGCTCCAGCAGCGGCAAGCCTGTACCTGGTAAAACTCCCAATGGCGTACAGGAGAAGACATTCCAAAACACTGCAGAGGAGTTGAGACAAAAGAAAATTGACGAATGGCTTCCGATGACCTCTTCCAGGAATGCCAAGTGGTGGTATTCCGCTTTCCACAACGTTACTGCCATGGTTGGCGCTGGTGTCCTCGGCCTTCCTTTTGCCATGTCTCAGCTCGGATGGTATGCCTCTCTATTTCTGCACATTACACAAAAGTGAATGTATAAGTATAAAACTAGGTAAAAGATCATACTTTTCAATCCCTAATTGTTTATTCTCTGATTCGACCGTCATTTGTTAAAATCATATTCGAATTCGATTTTTGGCCCCAATAGGAGAGAATTAAGTTTATCTACTGTCATTCTTGTGAACTGTTTTAGGCAATTAGGCATCATAGTATGAGATGGAGGTAAACCTGTTCAGGGTTTCCATTTAGACTGAAACCAGAGCTCTCAATTTTTGAACAGGAACCGAGAGACAGGGGCCTGTTTAGAACCTTTGGTTCTTAAGGGTGCTTGGGTTCTAGGATTGTTTTAGGATTGATCCGGTTTCGGTTGCCAAAAGTTTGAAACCGGAAACCTCTGTTTTAGTCCTGGTTACGGTTCCATGTGGAACCACCTAGATATGTAGATTGAGGAAGTAATAATCATTGTTAAATTTCAGGGGACCTGGTGTTGCGATGATGGTGATGTCATGGATAATCACTCTATACACATTGTGGCAAATGGTTGAGATGCATGAGATGGTTCCGGGGAAGCGTTTTGACAGATACCACGAGCTGGGGCAGGAGGCTTTCGGTGAAAAGCTGGGACTTTGGATCGTTGTCCCCCAACAGCTGGTGGTTGAGGTCGCTGTGGATATTGTGTACATGGTCACAGGTGGAAAGTCCCTCAAGAAATTCCATGACTTGGTCTGCAAAGACTGCAAAAACATCAAACTCTCCTACTTCATCATGATCTTCGGTTCTGTCCATTTCGTCCTCTCCCACCTTCCCAACTTCAACTCCATCTCCGGGGTGTCTCTAGCAGCAGCAGTCATGTCATTGAGTTACTCCACCATTGCTTGGGGGGCTTCTGTGGACAAAGGCGTGCAACCGAATGTGGACTATAGCTACAGATCTTCAACGACTAGTGGCACTGTTTTCGACTTCCTGAGTGGGTTGGGTGATGTGGCTTTCGCTTTTGCAGGTCACAATGTGGTGTTAGAGATTCAAGCCACTATCCCTTCCACATCTGAAGCCCCTTCCAAGGGACCCATGTGGAGGGGAGTGCTTGTAGCGTATATCGTTGTGGCCTTGTGCTACTTCCCTGTTGCCTTCATCGGCTACTGGGTGTTTGGAAACCATGTGGAAGACAACATTCTAATCTCCTTGCAGAAACCTACCTGGCTCATTGCTATGGCCAACCTCTTTGTCGTTATTCATGTCATTGGAAGTTATCAGGTAACAACACTACGTATATACACTCTCATCTACTTAATTGTCAACTGCTTCAAACAATATCAATCAATTTTGTGTGTATTTTCATGCGGCAGATCTATGCAATGCCCGTTTTTGATATGTTGGAGACATTGCTAGTTAAGAAACTGAACTTCGAGCCTACTTGGTACCTGCGTTTCATTACCAGAAACATATACGTGGGTACGTAATACAAATTCCACTGAACAGATTCTGATTATTAACATCAACTAGTTGAACTGTACAGTTAATTAAACTTAATGATTATCATGATTGCAGCAATCACAATGTTTCTTGGAATCACATTTCCTTTCTTTGGTGGGCTACTTGGATTCTTTGGAGGATTTGCTTTTGCCCCGACAACATACTTTGTAAGCTGCCCCCTTCATTTCACTTGAATTGTACTAGACTACTAGCCCATGCGCTATATCACTATATGTATAGTATGTAGAATATAATTATAGGTACCATGCATTATAATGTTAGTATGTGCGTTTTTGCAGCTGCCATGTGTGATGTGGCTAGCTATTTGCAAGCCGAAGAAATACAGTCTTTCTTGGATCACAAACTGGGTATGTTGATTAATAGTTTTGTCCCTAAGAATAGGCTTCGGTTATGTATACATTCATCATCAATGCCTGCCGATTGATTGCAGGTTTGCATTGTTCTGGGAGTTCTCTTGATGATTTTGGCACCCATTGGTGGGCTACGGAATATCATCGTGCAAGCCAAAGACTACAAATTCTACTCTTAATTATAACACAAACTCGCTCGTTTGCTACAAATATCTATACAAATATAGTACATTAGTTTTATACGGAGTAGTTAATTTGCTCTGTACATTTATACAAATACAGTAAATTAATGTTATAGTTAATTTTATATAAGCTTCTGAGGGAATGCAAGAAATTAATATCTGGATGTAAGGCAACGTGCTGGCCTTTTCTTCACTCTTGCAATGTACCCTTTTTATTACATACACATACATCCAAACCTCTACCACAAATATTCTTACATCATTCTTAATTGATTGCTATTTAAGAGTTATGTAAAATGATTCTCTAGTAAATTTCACCTTGTGTATCAATTTTCGGCCAATGTAATACTTTATCATAGTGTATTCCATTCAGGCTGTAAAGTTGGTAAAGTCTCGGTTGTTGATAGTGTAAAATTTGGTCTGCAAATGTTTGAATTATACAGAAGGTGAAACAATCCTCAGTTTATTACGCCTTACGAGTGTTTGCAATGGGTTTTAGTACATTTAAACATGAGCGTTTTTTGAGTTTTTATTTTTACCCAGCCGAAAAAACACAAAGATTTGTTTACCCAGTTCATCAGCGGCCAACTCTACTCTAGGGTATGTTTGGTTTGGGGTAATCTCACATAAAGGTCGGAATGTGATGCACGAAATATTACATACCCTTGTTTGATTCACGAGTTTGAATTTTTTTTAGGAAAGTTACATTCTCAGGAATGTAGTATGGAGGGGATTGTTAAACCCATCTATACCTTAGGTTATCTCACATTCAAAAATTAATGGCAAAATTGATCATTTGAACAAAGTTTTTATCTTATATTGCGATTTGAACAAAGTTTTTTTCATTTGTGTATTGGATCCACAACTTTTTACAATTAAACATACTTAACTTAAAAACAATCCAATTAGGTTTGATTGTAGTTATTATTAAGATATTTCATTTTTCTTTAATTTTAATTACTTTAGATGTAGGTTGTAATAAATTTATTGTGTTAAGAGAAAATATTTAAGGGGCATTGAAGTAATTCACTATATCTGCAATATAAGATATCTTTCAACCAAATTAATGACGACAATTCTCTTAATCTTAACCAAACACAAATGAGAATAAATTAAATACATTGTCATCAATCTAACATACCCAGCAATCTGACATTTCCATGATAATCTGACATTCCTGGAACCAAACGACCCCTAATTAAGGATGGCAATGGGAGCCGGGAGCCTTGTGGAACCGCACCGCGGGGAAAGGATGGGGCAGGGCGGGGATGGGTGAGATATTTCTACCTCGCTAAAATGAGGCGGGGATAGGGATTACTACACCCGCACCGTCCCCGTTATAAATATATACTCAAACATACATATATACATACATATATTAATAATGTATAAACATATTTGATTAAATTATATGTACTATACAAAAAACACATACACATATGACATTCTTATAGACATATATACATGTATGTGTATTAGTGATGATTAATGAACTAATACTACATATATATATTATATTAGAGTAATAATAAGTAATGACTTAAAATATTTATCATAAATGATATGAGTTTTGAAAGTGAGAAATTAAGTAAATAGAACACTCACATACATATGTACAATATATTTAATTAATTGTATTATAATTGATGAGAAATTTGGAACGACACACATGATGGTAATATGTTGACTTATGTTTTTAGTTTTATTATTTTCATAGAACTTATTCAAATTTAAGATTTGTTAAAAATTGGCGGTATCATCTTATCAAACACAATATTATCTAGTTTAACTCTTTCAGTGCTCTATATATGATAGTATATTTATTTATCTATAAAAGAGATAAAAAAACACAAATAAGATAATTAAAATATATATGAGGGCACCTGTGGGGGAAAGCGCGTGAGGCGGGTCTGAGAGTAATGGGGGGTGGGGGAAATGTTTTAGACATGGGGTGGGGGAGTGAACCCTACCCCAAACCCGCCCCGTTGCCATCTACCCCTAATGGTGCTTCCAAGTTCCAAGTCAGGCCCTTCAGGTGCCAAAGCCAGGTACAGTATCTGACAGCGCTCAACCATCACATTTGAATTTTTTGATAACTTTGGGTCTTTGATGCCAAAGATAAATTGTCTATACCAAATCAAGCTCAAAATTGTTACAGGGAAGTAAGAAAAAAAAACTGTTCGCATGTTTAGGTTTACCATAATTGTTTGGAGAGGCAAACCCCTGAAAAAAGCTCCACTACACAATTTGAGGGGTCCGGGAAAGAGAAAAAAAGAAAAATCTAAGCTATGTAATAATCTTTGCTTCTGACCAGTGTTTGTGCTCCCAGCTTTCCTAACTTGCAACTGCATATCTAGTCCATATTTAAGGCATACACTTGCAACTCAAAATCTCAAATGCCTTTCTGGGCAACTTCAATTCGCAAGGGCATACAATTAGAGATAGAATATGCATCAGCTTTAGACTTTCACTTCTTCACTGCAGTCTAGCATTATGTCTATACTGAAAGCACAATCCTCCAGTTGGCTATTAAGTGTTTGATAGTAGAACTGAAGATAATATCCTTATCTCAGTGGAGGAACCGAGGAACCCTTCTTGGCACATTGCAACACCCCCAGTTTGTTGTCATCGGCAGTTATCAGCTGCCTTTAGAAGCTAACCTACAACCTCCACAGTGGCCATTCGTATTGAAACATTGAACCATAGTTATTTATCAGCTGCCATGCTATTTTTTTTGGCATGATGGAGACTTCTAGTAGAACAGATACAAATGCCCCTATTACACACTTTATAAGTCACAAAAAATCGAACACCCCTTGACAAATTTCAGTTAGCTTCTTTGTTTAATGGTAAAAACACTTTCAAAATGCCGAATTTCTCACTCAATAATTTTACAACCTTGTTGCATTCTTTGCCTGGCTGTCTATTCCAAAGTTCAGCTTATCTTGTGGACTAACTGGATAGGTATTATGGCTGATCATCCCAGATGACTAACAATTTACGGGGAAAGTATTTTTAAAGAGAATATACATATATAAAGAGCACCAGGTGCACATTGGCGTCCTCGCAAGGTGAGGGTCCGATGAAGGGTCCAAAGCAGGTGTACACGGGGCGAACCTTCCCTTATCATTTGACAAGAGGCCGTTCCCCAAACTTGAACGCGCGACCTCTCGAACACATAGCAACAACATAATCAGTATGTAAAGAGATAGTACCCATATGCAATCACAAAATTCACAGATTCCAAGTATTTGACTAGGAAACTTGAACATGCCTCATGAGCATAGTACATCATGGAAGGAAAGAAGTAACAACAAAGCAGTTAATGTACATTCAAACCACCATTAACTTAGGTTTAGTCATATTCCAGGATTCAGCACCTCTTTTGGTCATACTGTTGATAATTCTGTAATTCTAAAACTTCAAAGAAACCATACTTGATCAACAAATCATTTCGATACTTGGATACCAAATTCAGATGAAAGAACAAATATTTATCCACTCTACCTTCTAATTGCACCAAAAGATTACAACTTTACAGTATAACATTGAGATGAAACTTTGATTCCATAAACATACTTGACTAATTCACCCAAAATAAAAGGCAGAGAGGGGTGACAATAAATTGCAGGTTGGATTTCATTAAGTCAAAGTAACAGCAGATAAACACAAACAACTCTAATTCAATCTGACTGGATAAAGTGTAAAAGGAGTCAGTCTTCATTGGTTTGATTTTTCTCTAAGAATAATACAAGCATTAAATGTGCCCTAAATTCTCTAACTGTATTTTTTGTCAAGTTTATGACTTTTCTGTCGATACAAGTCAACCCAACGATTTGAAACCCACAAGACACTGACAGAGATTGCAGCGATAATAACAGTAAACCAAGAAATCCACATCCATCTGGGTATCACATTCTCGGCTTCCCCTTTCATAAAAGAACCCAGCATTCTATAAACAAACAGCGGCCCAGCAAACCCTCTAACCACAGAATACAGAGCATAAAACGGAGGGGACAGGAATCCGTACACTTTGGCAGCCAATTGCGAATCGGATTTCCGAACCCCGGCCAGGGTCCAGACATTCTGGCAGAAACTGGTGACCTCCGCCAGAACCAGGAGCCCTAATACGGAATACGCCCCGCGAGCGACGGCGTATCGGCAGCTGACGAAAACGAACAGGGTGGCCAAATGGTGGGCGATGAAGAGAGCGTCGGTCGGGAAGAAAATCAGGTAGTGCAAAAGGTCCATCAGGAAATAGGCGACGCTGAAATCGAGGACCAGGTTCTGGAAGGGCGTGTTCCGGGAGTGGAAGCTCCGATTAGGGTCGGAGAGGACGGCGGCTGCGGCTAAGAACACGGCGGGAGTGCCGTGGGTCAGGGAGATGGCGCAGCTGGCGGCTTCGGGTCGGAGCTTGGGCTTCCAATTGCGGAAGATGAAGAGGTATGCGATTATGTAAATTAGGAGAAAAGCTGTGAAGAAGAAGAGGAGATTAGGGATGGGAGTGATCAGACTTGGAGATTCCATGATTGAAGGGAAACGCAAAATTGCAACAACTGGGATGGATCTACTCGTACAAATGTTTAAGGTACGGTTCAACCGATACGGAATATATAGACCCCAATTCGGTGTCAGAGAATGAGTCTCCGCATATGCTTTTGATTCCGAGAGTCGGAGTGTAATTTTGTTCGTTTTTAATCGAACAATGGTTCCCAAAGTGGAATCTCCCGCCCCAAAAGCCTCAAACTCTAATCCTACAGAAGTAATGATGATTTAATCGGTCCAATGATTGTAGGTTTTATATCTGTGTGTAATAGGGATCTAGCTCAACACAAAGGAGCTCTAACCTTCACACGGCCGCTCCGAGTTTCGATCGTTGATCATTGTCCCAAATTTCTCATTACTAAACCAACTGACCTATCTATGTGGGTTCAATTTTAATCAATCAATATTATTCTTCAGTTCTCTCAATTGATAATTAATTTAATTTTAATAATTAAAATTTACATATTCACAAATGACAATAAAATCTCTCTAAAGTGGAAAAAATTCATATTAGACAAAATGAATTTATTTGAAAAAAGTTGACTTTCCAAATCAATTTAGGACGTATTAATGTGTTATATTGACACCAATAGAGATTTAGATGTACCAATTCAAAGTTAATCAACTAACGTAATCAAGAATTAAATTGATGAGATAAATATGAATTGACATACGGAGTATAAGCTATTGGAAGATGGTGTCATCCAAAGCTTAAATAGAGGACCGAGTGATCACAACAGACAATTTCCAAATCTAGATGATGTGTTAATGACTGGATTTTGCCAATAATGAGATTTAGCATCTGAAACGTATGATTTGCTCAATCATGACTAAAGTATTGAATTTTAATGCATTATTATAATAATTACTAAGAAATAACATTGGTACTAATATAATAGGGTTTTTATCAAAACTATTATTAAAACAAAATTTCTTTATTCAAATATATGACTTATAGTTACGAAATGGTAGTGTCATGGTCACCCGATCACTTAACTTTAAAAGTTTTGTTTTAATAATAGTTTTGATAAAAACCCTATTATATTAGTACCAATGTTAATTCTTATTAATTACGGAGTATTATGTTACGAAATGATAGCGTCATGGTCACCTGATCACTTAACTTTAAAAGTTAAACATAAATTAATATGATCCGGTTATTATTATTGTCCATAGTTACATTTTTATAAATGATCTTTATTTTAATCATAAACATATAATTATTTTATAATATAATAATAAAAGAGAGAAAGGAGAAAATTTTAATGTAGAGACTTTATAATGTGAAATTAGTTTTTCAGTTGAAAATTTTTACAAGTCAGCTGGGATAGAGAGGGGTCCCAATGTTCTTTTCCGCCTTTGTCGGTCTACCAGGCATTTTTAGAATTCCTTTTAAAGTTTATTTATTCTTTTAGTCGTTATATTATTCCATACGGAGCATGTATAATATTAGGTGAGAAGTAATAGTCGTACCCTGAGGCCGCGTACAATTTTAGGGCATTTTATGCATCCATTTATATACGGCACGTTTAATTGGATTTTGCTTGAAAAATTGCATAACCTCTCATCATACAACTACCTAGGAATTTAACTATTTATTCACCCAAAAAATATTTCCATATTTTACTCTATATAGAACAGGCGCCAGTTCGTATACCGTGCAACCGGTCCACCATGAGCATCATGCTCCTACGCCCAAAACGACGTCGTTTGAAGCATGCTGAAAAAATCGCGTGTTACTGTTCACGCGCGTGAACAGTAACCTTTCTTTTTGTTTTTTCATTATCCAGGAGCATAATGATGTAACTCGTGTGTAATGAAATGTAACTCAAGTTGATAAAAAATGTAACTGCAGACATGTCGAAATGTAACTTGTCTAATACGGATATTAAGAAATAAAACATTGATCTCAAAGTGAAAAATGATAAATAAAGAGTCTAATTGACCAATTAATTCAAGTAAACAATGAATATATTTTGTTTTTAATGGCAGAGGTTGACTTTTTTATGTAACTAATGGCAAATGTAGCTTAGGTGTATACTAACTTGTTGAGATAAATCCAAATGTAACTCGCGCTTTAGTTGATGTAGCTCGCTTATAAGAAGATGTAACTCATGCACATGAAAATGTAAATCGTTCATAAGATGAAACCAAAGTAAAAAAGAGTATATGAATGTGAAATACAATATACTTATTTTATGTATGCTAATAAAATTTTGTAATACATTGGTAAAAAAAAAGAAGTTAATTCAGTTGTAATTTAATTAGTTAAAGATAAAGATAAGTAAAAATTGACAAAATATTAGATGTATCTCGCGCATAATTAGATGTAACTCGCGCATAGAAAGATGTAACTCACGCACAAGAAGATGTAACTTCATATACTATAAAATGTAATTCAAGAAATTGTTTTGAAACATAATTCACATATGCGCAAATGTAAAATTTTATCAAATGTAATCAAAATAAAGAAATTTATTTTCTTAAAAACACCAAAAACATATAAAGAGATAAGAGATACTACTATTGATGGATAGTCTACCCGGGGGGTATCTTATCCGAGGGGTTATTGCGGGAATAACTAGAGAGAAGTCAGAGCAAAATAGGAGGAGAGAGAGTTGATCTTATTAAATGAACTCAGCGTGTGGAGTTGAGATGCAGATGATGATTTACAAGGAGAGATGGGCTGCTATTTATAGCAGCAATAAATGCGATGAGAGGACACGTGTCAGTAATCCAACGGCCGAAGGGTCACATCAGCCTGGTGGCATCGGCAGTGGTACGTCAACCGCATTGAATGCGGTTGGCGGATGCGACGTGGCATTAAATGCGGTGGTTGGCTGTCTCTAAAAGGAATCTTCGATGATTGAGCTTGTTCAGCCGAAGGCTCCTTGTTCAGCCGAAGGCTCCTCGTGTAGCCGAGGGCTCCTTGTGTAGCCGAAGGCTTGGTTCAGCCGAAGGCTTCCCCTGGTGCCGAGGGCATGAGAATGCCGAAGGCTCATGTCTTCGCCCGTTTTCTCCCAACAGCTTCTTATGCCAGAGAAGGCTATCCTGTGAGTTTTGGAGCCTTCGGCCAAGGAGGCCGAAGGCACCCCAGTGTGTATTCTGGGCTACTTTGAGGCTTGGGCCGTTGTATTTGGGCCTGAGTTGTTTCCTGAGCTCAATGGACTTGTGTAGGAGAAATAGGAGTCTATGGGCCGGGGGTTCCTGGGCCATATACTCCATCAGGAGTCCCTCACTCCTTTTGCCGAAAGGTACTTGAGGGAAAAGGAGTAGATGTGTTGCTTCTTCTGGAGGCTTCATCATTTCGCTGGGTGCCTTTGCTGGAGGACTTGTCTTCTGCTGATTGCCGAAGGCTTCCCTCAGTCCCTCACATGTCGAGGGTTTTCTGAGGACAGTATAACACTTGTATGACGGCAGAAGGCTTTCCTCAGTCCCTCACATGCCGAGGGCTTTCTGAGGAAAGCATAGATGTATTGCCTGTGTGTTGTGACGAGGGCTGCTTCATTTCCGCAAATGACTTGTGGAAACTTTTGATATTCTGTCTCCGCCGAAGGGTGTGATTCCCGTGGGGTGTGTCCCAGTCCCCCACTCCTTTGGGCCGAAGGCTAGTTCGGGCTGAAGGAGTTATGATGTGTTGATGCAAACCCGAGGGGTGGTGACATTGATGAGCCGGAGGCTAGTGCCGCAATCTCGAAGGCGTTTGGTGGAATCCGTTGTCTGAGGGCTGCGGAGAGTGATACCCGGAGGCTTTCATTCGAGGGCACCCCCAGTGTTGCCGAAATATAGTCGTTGTAATATAGCCGTTGGGGGAGGAGCTGACGTGGCGTGTCCTCGTTGGCTGTTGGTGGGCGGGCGCCATCCATTGGCTGAACCGGCGGCCCGTAATGATGGCCTTTTTAAATCGAGGCCCAGTTCTCGAGGCTGAAAGCCTATATATACCCCAACTCCGAAGTCATTCGGTTTGTGCGTATTGTTGTGAAGCGAAGCTCTGCCGAAATTTCTAGAGAGAGAAACCTCAACCTTCGATCAAACCCTTAGCTTCTGAGGTTAGTTCTTCACCTGTTCTCCTTCTCGTAGCATAGTTTGCTATTGTGTCTTTAGATCTAGTGTTTAGGGAGACTTTAAGAGCCCTCGGTTAGGCTACTTCCATCGTAAAATCATGTCATCCCAGAGTGATTCCCAAAATATATCGGGGGAGGCTCTGGTACAATCCGAGAGCTATTCGAATGTGGAGCCGTCGAGCGGGCAAGCCTCCTCCAACAACGATTCGGAGGTGGCGAGGGAGGTGCAGAGCAACCTTCGTGTTGAGGCCGAAGCTGAAGACTTCGAGCAGGTGGCAGAGGATGAGGAGATGGCTCTCGCTCTCCAGGTAGCGGAAGAAGAGGAGGAGAAGGAGCGCCTTCGGGTGACAGTTGCTGTTTTGCCCTCGCGCGGTGCTGGTGAGGCAAGCACCTCCCGGGCACTGGACCCTGATCCGCTGAGCGTGGCCCCGGGAAAAAGGAAGAAGAAGTTGAAGGTTGCTCCCAAGAAGAAGCAAGCAGCCATCGACGTTGGTCGCCCCGTTGGGATCCCCGAAGGGCACTCGTATTTGGACACTACCGCCCTCGAGGTGAAAACCACGGCCTCGGGCGCTGATTATCAAGCTCTCCAAGTCCTCGTGGGTCCATCGGCGCAGGTCGTGGAGCCGGGAGCCGAAGATCTGCTCTCTCACCCCCCGGAGGGGTGCTTCTCTGTTCATATGCTCTCGGTGGAGTTGGGTCTTAGGTTCCCACTCCACCCTTTCGTTTTGGAGTATCTGAGGTTTGTAAAGCTAGCCCCCTGTCAGCTAACTCCAAACAGCCACTATTACTTGGCGGGGTTCTTATCCCTCTGCCAGAGCCGGAAGGTGGAGGCCACGTTAGACCAGTTCTTCCTCTCCTTTAATCTGTGCCGTGGTGGACATTCCCACGCCGGGGGGTATGCTAATCTGCAACAGGTGCCGGCTTGGAAGCTATTCTCCGAGACCCCCTCGTCGCACAAGGAGTGGAAGGAAAAATTCTGTTATATCCGGATGGCTGATAACCCATTCCCGGGGGCCCTGCGCAATCATTTCCGTAGGCACCCGAAGGTGGGCAGCGCGGCACTGCAGAAGGCTGGTAAGAAACTCACCGAGAAGCCCGAGGGCTCTGATAAGGTGATTGCTATCAAGGCGGCGACGCTCCCGGAGGATCTTTACTTGCTGGGCTTCAGGCGGTATCGCCTTCCGGGGGATGAAGATGAGAAATATCCTGAGATCGACCGGGGGTATCAAAACGCCGGAGGTTGTAGCTGAGGGCTCTTGTTTTTGATACTTAGAATGTTTCTCCTTGATTAGCTCTGATTCTAACCCTTCTCTGTCTTTTGCAGGTGACATTATGGACGTGCAAGCCTTCGCGCGACTGTCAAAAAAGCTGGCGAAGGTTCCGAAGAAAAAGAAGGAGGAGGGGGGATCCTCGAACCAACTCCTTGTCGACGATGTTCTCAAGAAGGCCGGGGCCTCCAAGACTCCGGAAGCTAAGGAGCCCACCAAGGAGGTTCCTGCTGCTGATGCCGGTGCTGTTGCCGGGGGCTCCCAAGCTGGGGAGCTTAAGAGAAAAAACGCCGGGAAGGGCTCCAAGCCTCCGGTGACTAAGAAGCTGAGGGGGGCCGAAGAAGGTAGGGGTGCCCCCCTGGTGATTCTCGACAAGCCCTCCTCCTCTCATCTGGTGGACCTGGACGAGGGGGCTTGGCCGCAGGAGACGGTGCAGTTCTCCTTTAAGAAGGGGACAGCCATCGTCCATGGCACCCTCGATCCGAGGGAATATCTGAAAGGCGCCACTCCCCCCTTGGATCGCTCGACCCTCGGCAAGTTCGAGGATGAAGCCCTCGAGCGAAGAGCACTTGAGGCCTCGGTCACTGTAAGTCCCTTCCCCTTGCTAAGCATATGTTTTGCTTTTACATTCCCTCTGTTTGCACAGTTTGACCTTAAGTGCCCCTTTTTCTGCTTACAGGCTAGCCTCGCCTTCGGAGAGTATGTCCGGAGAATGGAACAAGTGCGTTCGGAGAAGGCGCAAAACGACGCTGCCCTGGAGAAGCTCATCAGGGACCATTCTGAGGCCGTCAGGTGTTGTGCTGAGCTGGAGCGTGCCCTTAAGCAAGCTGAGGAGAAACTGGGAGCAGCAGAGGAGAGGGCCCGTGCCGAGGGCAAGGCGGAGGCTGAGAGAGCTGCTGCTGAGGCCGCCAAGGAAGCAGCCGAGGAAGCTGAGAAGGCAAAAACTGAGGCCGCGGCCAAAGCTAGAGAAGATGCCGTCGCCTCATTTGTCTCCGAGGGCTGGAAGGCCGAGGACCGCAAGGAGTGGGTGACCTCGGTCATAGAACAAGGTGTTGATGCCTGGGTGAAAGGCCCCGGATCCGAGTGGATGGCCCTAAAGGGCAAGGACTATTTTGATGGGGGCGAGTTTTTCACTCAGCGTCTCATCTACCGGAAGCTGGCGGAGCACTTCGAGATCCCTAAGGACAAGTTCGACCCCTCGGCATATGGCCTCCCCCCTCAGCAGCCTGATGTGAGAGTCCCCCTTCCGGAGGGTGAGGAGAGGGTCCAACTCACGGATTCTGAGCTGATGAGGGAGTACAACTTGGCTGATGATGAAGAGGAGATCGAAGATGATGCTACTTCGAAGGCCAAGGAAGACACTGCTGAGAGGGCCCAAGTTTGATGCTGCTTTGAAATTCCTGACTTGTAATAGCTCATAGGCCTCGGCTAGTTGTAAACAAACATCCTTTGTTAACACTCTGTTTTTTTTTTTTTTTTTGAATGAATGTGATATGCCTCCGGGCTTCTTTAATGAGTGGTTGCCATCGTCTCATAGTATTCACCTTTTGATGAATGTATGCCCTCGCTTCTTTTTGTATTTGCGTATGAATGATTTTTCCTTTCCTCTGTCTGGTTTCCCGAGGGCCAACTAGTTTGTGGACTTAGTAAATTTTTCTAAGTAACCTGGCAGCAAGCCTCCGGTTGTAGTGTAGAATTACCGGGGGCTTGTTGTTGTGGACTTAGAAAATTTTCCAAGTAAACTTGATCAGAACCCTTCGGATGTAGGGTAGAATCATCGGGGGGTTTGTGATCGTGGACTTGGAAAATTCCTTGAGTAAGATCCCAGAGTGTGCCTTCGGTGATGAACCATTGCCATCACCTCCGGTTGTAGCATTAGGACCGAGGGCTAAAATTTTCCAAGTGAAATTGCATCTTATGCCCCCGGAAGCCTTGGAAGCCTTCATTTAGTAGTGTAGCTTCTGGCCCTTGCCAAGTAGTTTAGGAGGCCATCGGCCATGAGTCTGTAGGTGAAGAATTGCCCTCCCGAAGGGTCCACATTTGTGGACTTAGTCATTTTTTTCACAAACTTTTAATAGTTGTTGTAGCGGTCCTTCGAATGTGAGAATTGCTTGAGCCCCCGGTTCGATGAGTGTTTCCCGAAGGATGCCAATGTGTGGATTTAGACATTTTCTCATCGTTGAATGAGCCTGGTGACATTCTGCCTTCGGTATGGGGCCTCCGGTTTGTGCAGATATAGGTTTAGCTTGCCTTAGAACTTTGTGGAGCCCTCGGCATGCCACATATTTGACTTCGATCCATCCAAACTTCGGCCTTAGCCAAATTTAGGTGAAGTTTTGCTTAGTGAACCTTCTTCTTGGGCCTCCGGTGGAAATCTTGTACTCCAAGGTTTCATGCAGTGAAGCCTTCGGCTATGTAGCCAGACGACTTGTTGTTGCGAGATTTTTCTTGTGCCTTTGTAGGAGCCTTCGGGAACATATATCCGAAGTGTTGAGCCTCCGGGGAGAATAGTATCCGGGGAGTTCCTTCCCCCCTACACATCTTTTTTTTTTTTCTTTTTTTTTTTTTTGAGATGGTGTAGGAGAGGCATCTAGAAACTTGGTTTCTAGGAAAGGCTTGGCCTATATGGGAGGCAACGGAACAAACCGTTGGCTCCCCCTTCTGGAATGACCTTCCGATATCCCGAAGGGTTTGAGGGTCGTTTCCTCGGCCCGAGACATCGTCTGTTGCCTGCTTCCCCTTGGGAGATAGCACGGAAAGCGCCTCGGTTTTGAAAGTCGTCCCCTCAGCCCGAGACATGGTCTGTTGCCTGCTTCCCCTTGGGGGATAGCGCGGGGAGCGTTTCGTTTGTGGAAGTCGAATCCTGGGCCCGGGACATAGTCCGTTGCCTGCCTCCCCTTGGGGGATGGCGCGGAAAGCGTTCCTGGGAAGAGTTTTATTTGTGTGTGGTACACAAATAGCCGGGAGCACTTGGTACCAGCCGGAGCCGAGGGGTATTGCACCCCCCGGTTTTTTTTTTTAGGAGGGTATGTAAAAGTGTGCATAATGTATGCATGATTGCGTCCTCGTGGGGTACGGCTTAGTGAGAAAACACTTGGTGTTTTCAAAGAGTGATGGGGGTGATCCATACACTTGGTACTTGGTACCTAAATTGTTGTTCCCCCTCATGAGAGGAAGAGGCCTTGGGCCTATTTTGGTGAAGAGATGATGGCTTGGCCACCCATTTGTAGGAGAGAAGGGGGCCTTGGGCCGCTTGTGCAATATGTAGGTGATGAAGGCTTGGCCTTTTGATTATTCTTCAAAAACAGATGGGGCCTTAGGCCATTGATATTTACACTTGCTGAGGATGAGGGCTTGGCCGCTCATGTCTTATTGATAGAATTTGACAAGGTGGTGCACATTCCAATGTCTAGGGACCTCCGTCCCATTGGGGCGTTTAAGCTTGTATGTCCCTGGTTTGATGATGGCTGAGATGATGTAGGGGCCTTCAAACTTGGGCGCCATCTTTCCTCCCTCGGTGGGTAGACTGGCCTCCCTTCGTCGGAGGACGTAGTCACCCACCTGAAATTCCCGGGAGCGGACCTTGGCGTCGATGTAGCCTTTGACTTGTCTCCTATAGTTTTCGGCCCTGAGAAAAGCTTGCTCTCGGCGTTCCGAGATGAGATGAAGGTCGAGGGCCATGTTGGCTTCGTTGACCTCGGGCTCATATTGTTCCACCCTTCGGGTGGGAAGAGTCACTTCTGTTGGAGCCTTAGCCTCAAAGCCATAGCATAGGGAGAAGGGTGTTTCGCCTGTTGCACGCCGAGGGGTGGTGCGGTAGGCCCATAGGATGTTATGAAGCTCTTCTACCCAGCCTCCCCCTTCGGCTTCCAGCTTCTTCTTCAACCCCTCGAGGAGGGTGCGATTGGCATTCTCTACTTGCCCGTTGCCCTGAGGGTAGGCAACGGATGAGAAGGTGTGTTTGATGCCCCATGCCTCCAGGAGGGCACAGAAGGGGGCAGCCTCGAACTGGGTCCCATTGTCGGAGATGATTTGTTGGGGGACGCCAAACCTTGTGAGAATATTTTTGAGAACAAAGTGGCGGCACCGGGCCTCAGTGATGCTGGCGAGGGGCTCGGCCTCTACCCACTTGGTGAAGTAGTCAATTGCCACAATGATATACCTGTTGTTGGAGGTGCCCCTCGGCAGAGGGCCTACCAAGTCAATCCCCCATCTGGAGAAGGGTATAGCGGTGCTGATGGGGGCATAGTTGACCGCTGGTCTGCCGGGGGCCTTCTGAAAATGTTGGCAAGCGGTGCACCTTCGGGCCAGATCAGCACAATCTCTAGCCATCGTGGGCCAGAAGTAGCCCTGAACTATGAGCCTTCGGGACATGGAGAAGGGTCCCTGGTGAGCTGAGCAAGTGCCACTGTGCACTTCCTCCATGGCGACTTCGGCCTCATCTTGATGAAGGCACCGAAGGAGGGTGCCATTGTAAGATCTCTTGTAAAGCCTCCCGTTTTCGATGGTGTAGCTGGGAGCCCTCAGCTTAGCTAACTTGGCGCGGGCTTCGTCCTGGGGTAGTTGCCCTGTGGTGATGAAGGTGACGATGTCGGAGATCCAATCCTCCGGCCTTAGGTTAATGCTCATGACGGGGCTTGCGTGGATACTTGAGAGGCTGAGTTCCTCAATTCTTGCAATCTTCGAGAGGTGCTCGGGGGATTCATCCGAGAGCTTGGATAGAATGTCGGCCTCAGAGTTTTGAGCCCTCGGTATTTGGGTAAGAGAATGTGTCTCAAATACCTTAAGCAACTCCTTGGCGGCCTCCTTGTACTGTTTCATCCTCCCTTCTTTGGCTTCGTACTCCCCGGAAATTTGACCCACGACGAGTTTGGAGTCACATTTGACGTGGATCATTTTAGCCTTCAGATTCGCTGCCAGCCGAAGGCCACAGAGGAGGGCCTCATACTCGGCTTCGTTGTTGGAGACTTTGAAGGAGAAGCGGATGGCATAATAGGCGCGGAAGCCCTCGGGTGTGATGAGAACTACTCCCCCTCCGCATGCCTTGGTAGCCGAGGAGCCGTCGGTATAGAGGGTCCACCAGTCATCGAGGGGTGCCGAAGGCTCCTCATCCACCGCTGATCTCGCGGTGCATTCCGTCACGAAGTCCGCCAGGGCTTGGCCCTTGATGGCAGGCCTCGGACGGATATCTATGTTGTATTGGCTGAGGAAGATGGCCCACTTCACCATGCGGGAGGAACTTGTGGGGCTCCTCATGAGGGCGCCGAGGGGTTGATGAGTGAGTACTTGGACCGGATGAGCTTGAAAGTAGTGGCCAAGCTTCTTGACGGTCCAAACGATGGCTAGCACCGTCTTCTCGACGGGAGAATACCTGAGTTCGGCCTCCCGGAGGGTTTTGCTGACGTAAAAGATGGCATGTTGGATGCCGTCTTCCTCTCGGATTAGTACTGAGCTGATAGCCGCAGGGCTAACACCGAGATATAAGTACAAAGTCTCCCCTACCTTCGGTTTGGAGAGCACTGGGGGAGAAGAGAGGTACTTCTTAAGTTCATCGAAAGCCACTTGACATTCAGACGTCCATTGGAAACCCGCTGTCTTCCTCATGATTTGGAAGAAGGGGAGGGCCCTCTCGGCTGATTTGGAGAGGAAACGGTTGAGGGCCGCCAGGCGACCCGTCAACCGTTGAACTTCTTTGACGTTGCGTGGGGGCTCCATGTTGATGATGGCCTGAATTTTCTCGGGGTTGGC